CTGTGGGTCTGTGTGACTCGCTGTGACTCGCTGTGGGTCTGTGTGACTCGCTGTAGGTCTGTGTGACTCGCTGTGGGTCTGTGTGACTCGCTGTGGGTCTGTGTGACTCGCTGTGGGTCTGTGTGACTCGCTGTGGGGCTGTGTGACTCGCTGTAGGTCTGTGTGACTCGCTGTGACTCGCTGTGGGTCTGTGTGACTCGCTGTAGGTCTGTGTGACTCGCTGTGGGTCTGTGTGACTCGCTGTGGGTCTGTGTGACTCGCTGTAGGTCTGTGTGACTCGCTGTGGGTCTGTGTGACTCGCTGTGACTTGCTGTGGGTCTGTGTGACTCGCTGTAGGTCTGTGTGACTCGCTGTGACTCGCTGTGGGTCTGTGTGACTCGCTGTGACTCGCTGTGACTCGCTGTGACTTGCTGTGGGTCTGTGTGACTCGCTGTGGGTCTGTGTGACTCGCTGTGACTCGCTGTGGGTCTGTGTGACTCGCTGTAGGTCTGTGTGACTCGCTGTAGGTCTGTGTGACTCGCTGTGACTCGCTGTAGGTCTGTGTGACTCGCTGTAGGTCTGTGTGACTCGCTGTGACTCGCTGTGGGTCTGTGTGACTCGCTGTGACTCGCTGTGGGTCTGTGTGACTCGCTGTAGGTCTGTGTGACTCGCTGTAGGTCTGTGTGACTCGCTGTGACTCGCTGTGGGTCTGTGTGACTCGCTGTAGGTCTGTGTGACTCGCTGTGGGTCTGTGTGACTCGCTGTGGGTCTGTGTGACTCGCTGTGGGTCTGTGTGACTCGCTGTGGGTCTGTGTGACTCGCTGTAGGTCTGTGTGACTCGCTGTGGGTCTGTGTGACTCGCTGTAGGTCTGTGTGACTCGCTGTGGGTCTGTGTGACTCGCTGTGACTCGCTGTGGGTCTGTGTGACTCGCTGTAGGTCTGTGTGACTCGCTGTGGGTCTGTGTGACTCGCTGTGACTCGCTGTGGGTCTGTGTGACTCGCTGTAGGTCTGTGTGACTCGCTGTGGGTCTGTGTGACTCGCTGTGGGTCTGTGTGACTCGCTGTGGGTCTGTGTGACTCGCTGTGGGTCTGTGTGACTCGCTGTGGGTCTGTGTGACTCGCTGTAGGTCTGTGTGACTCGCTGTGACTCGCTGTGGGTCTGTGTGACTCGCTGTAGGTCTGTGTGACTCGCTGTGGGTCTGTGTGACTCGCTGTGGGTCTGTGTGACTCGCTGTAGGTCTGTGTGACTCGCTGTGGGTCTGTGTGACTCGCTGTGACTTGCTGTGGGTCTGTGTGACTCGCTGTAGGTCTGTGTGACTCGCTGTGACTCGCTGTGGGTCTGTGTGACTCGCTGTGACTCGCTGTGACTCGCTGTGACTTGCTGTGGGTCTGTGTGACTCGCTGTGGGTCTGTGTGACTCGCTGTGACTCGCTGTGGGTCTGTGTGACTCGCTGTGGGTCTGTGTGACTCGCTGTAGGTCTGTGTGACTCGCTGTGGGTCTGTGTGACTCGCTGTGGGTCTGTGTGACTCGCTGTGGGTCTGTGTGACTCGCTGTAGGTCTGTGTGACTCGCTGTGACTCGCTGTGGGTCTGTGTGACTCGCTGTAGGTCTGTGTGACTCGCTGTGGGTCTGTGTGACTCGCTGTGGGTCTATGTGACTTGCTGTGGGTCTGTGTGACTCGCTGTAGGTCTGTGTGACTCGCTGTGACTCGCTGTGGGTCTGTGTGACTCGCTGTAGGTCTGTGTGACTCGCTGTGGGTCTGTGTGACTCGCTGTGGGTCTGTGTGACTCGCTGTGGGTCTGTGTGACTCGCTGTAGGTCTGTGTGACTCGCTGTGGGTCTGTGTGACTCGCTGTAGGTCTGTGTGACTCGCTGTGGGTCTGTGTGACTCGCTGTGACTTGCTGTGGGTCTGTGTGACTCGCTGTGGGTCTGTGTGACTCGCTGTGGGTCTGTGTGACTCGCTGTGGGTCTGTGTGACTCGCTGTAGGTCTGTGTGACTCGCTGTGACTCGCTGTGGGTCTGTGTGACTCGCTGTAGGTCTGTGTGACTCGCTGTGGGTCTTTGTGACTCGCTGTGGGTCTGTGTGACTCGCTGTAGGTCTGTGTGACTCGCTGTGACTCGCTGTGGGTCTGTGTGACTCGCTGTGGGTCTGTGTGACTCGCTGTGGGTCTGTGTTACTCGCTGTGACTTGCTGTGGGTCTGTGTGACTCGCTGTGGGTCTGTGTGACTCGCTGTAGGTCTGTGTGACTCGCTGTGGGTCTGTGTGACTCGCTGTAGGTCTGTGTGACTCGCTGTGACTCGCTGTGGGTCTGTGTGACTCGCTGTGACTTGCTGTGGGTCTGTGTGACTCGCTGTGGGTCTGTGTGACTCGCTGTGACTCGCTGTGGGTCTGTGTGACTCGCTGTGACTCGCTGTGACTTGCTGTGGGTCTGTGTGACTCGCTGTGGGTCTGTGTGACTCGCTGTGACTCGCTGTGACTCGCTGTGGGTCTGTGTGACTCGCTGTGACTCGCTGTGCTCACCCATGCTGTTGGTGGAGCTGCACCACATCAGCAGACAGCCGGTGCACAGCAGGTTGAGCGCTCCGAACAGCAGGATCCTCCACGACTGAAAATGGCAGAAAACAAAGAGAAGAAATGAGAAACTTGAGCAGCAAAAAGCTTCATCCTGTTGGACCCGGAAAGACAATTTATTTTTATTTTACTGCCTCTTGGCTTTATTTTGAAAATCTAATACCAGTCACCAGTTGCTATGTTGATTCCTGTTCATCCAGTGGAGCCCACAGCATCACTGTTTTATTAAAACTCAAAGTTTAACAGGACTCCTGCTGCATATATTGAGATTAAAATATCAGCTTTTCAAAACCAAAAAGTATTTTACATCTTTTTGCAGAAAGTAAATGTAAAGAATTTGGTCCAAACAGCTTCTGTGCTTTTCAACAGTTTGGTTAAAAATCTGTTTTAAAATGTTTTTCTACTGGATTCAGTTTGATGTGATCGCCGTAAACAACGTGACAATAAAAACAATCACATGTTTTGAGCCTCATGCTGATTTCCAGCCCGGTCTGCGTTTGGACCTCCATGGAGAACAGAGTATTTAAGGGTTCTGGTCCAGATGGAGGCAAAGGCAGCAGAATAAGTCCGTTTTAGGACGGACTGAACCGTCCTGGGAAATCCCAGCTCAGACTGGAATAAGCCAATAATCCAGCTTCACTATCTTTACCTTCACTTTATGCAAGGAGCAGAAAAACGCCGCTCCTCCTCTTCTTCTCATTACTGATTCTCCATTTCAGAACCAAAGATTTTGTTTTTTATGACCAGGAGAAAAAAGTTTTATTTTCCAGTCAGATTCAAACATCAAATCCTTAAAATGAGTATTAATTTATGCTTTTAGCAGGACAGATGGTGATTATCATGCAGCATTCAGATCCATCGTTTGGATGGATCGGATCAGAACCGCTGCATCAGACCTGCAGCGGTTCTGATCAGAGCTGCAGGTCCGGTCCGGTCCAGTCGGTCTCTCTCAGCAGGTCTAGGAGAATCCTGACTGAAGGAGAGGCGAGTAAGTGACTGAACATGTTCCTGCTGCTGCAGCAGCATGAGCTGCAGCAGCATGAGCTGCAGCAGCAGGAGCTGCAGCAGCAGGAGCTGCAGCAGCAGTCAGGGGAAAGTCACACTGGAAAAGTCTCAGCACAGAAAAACATGCATCTGCAGGTTCTATCAGTTTACTCCGCACTCATCAGATCACTAAACCTGCAGCTGTCAGCAGCTGTAAGACCCGGAAATCTGGGATCTGGAATGAAAACGCAGCCATGAAGCGACTCGGCGGTTTATTGAACAACTCGGCGTTCCAGCTGGATCCGTTTAAACCTGAAATCTGCTCAACCTGCAGGGCAGCGTGACAGGAAAACTGTTTCCATCCACAGGGATTCAGGGATAGTTCCTCTAGTAACCGATCAATAAAACTGGACTAGTTGGCTTTATGCAGAAGGTGAAGCTAAAACTGCAACCAGAGGAATTCTGGACAGAACAGACTTTAAGGACAAAGAAGGTTTTATCTTAAATGTTATAATTTTGTTCATTATGGCTCTGATTGTGCTGTTTGAGTAAACGGACCGTTTCTTCAGTCTGTGGACTCTGGAGCGTATATCTGAGCACTAACTGCTTCTGACTGACTTCCTGGTTTAATTTTCCTTTTTAACAGATTTTTATCTCACTTTCATCCTGATTTTGGTCTCATTCAATCTGTTTCTTCCTGGTTTTATTTTTTCTTTTACTCTGATTCTCCTGATTTTATCCACATTGTCTCTGCTTTTGCTGCAGTTTTGTCCTCATTTAACCTCAGGTTTCTCCAGGAGAGGGCGCCATGGTAAACCTACACAATCTCAGCAATCCACAGATAAACATGTCTTTAGGTCCCAGTTAGCAGCCTAAAGGTTACAGTTCATGATGGGACGATCGGACAAAGATGAAAATATAACTTAAGAAGAAACTTTTTCTTTCTGAAAGAACATGGCAGCTTCATATTCCAGGCTGCAAAGCCGAATCTGAACTGAAGGCGCCGGTTCAGTTCAGACGTTTGGAGAAAGAAAAACTCCTCCTACTGAGTCTGAATGTACCGTGGAATAATGAAACAAAAAATAAAAATCAGTATATTGCAATGGCCTAGTCAACGTTCAGAGCTCAGTATTCAGCAGGAAACCTGGATGAAGTGAATAGCGAAGGCTTGAAAATTGATTCATGTCACAAAAACATTTTGTCAAAGGTTTCAAAATAAACCTAAAAGTGGCAGACAGCAGAACCTTCTGCCGTCCAGCTGAAACCCGACCCGGGTTCTGGGAGTCGGCGTTGGTTTCCAGCAGCTGGAGGTATTTTGGTTGGAAGAGAAGACAGCGGCATCGACCTCCGATCGCCTCCAGAGGCATGAAGGTCACCCACTTCCTGCTCTGGTTCTGGAGGCGAGCCGAGCCGGGCCGAGCCGAGCCGGGCCGGATCAGGTCGGCGGTGCTGCTGCTACATCTATCTGATCGGGACGGAAACTCTGAGTCCATTCAGCACTGTTCTGCTCTGTTTGTGAAATTCAGCAGAATTTTCAATGAAAACGCCGCAGCGAGTCGCCCTCTGTGTGTCAGACAGAAGAAATGGAGGAAGGGCACAGAGTGTGAGTGTGTGTCTCTCTGTGTGTGTGTGTGTGTGTGTGTGTGTGTGTGTGTGTGTGTGTGTGTGTGTGTGTGTGTGTGTGTGTGTGTGTGGTGTGTGTGTGTGTGTGTGTGTGTGTGTGTGTGTGTGTGTGTGTCCTGGCCTGTCACTTTGTGTTGGACTCATAAGACGCGGCGAGGCGAGCCGAGTGCTGTGAAATCTACAATTACTGTGGTGTGCCGTGTTATGACAGCAGCAGGCAGCGGCAGAACAGGAGACCTGCAGAGTGTGTGTGTGTGTGTGTGTGTGTGTGTGTGTGTGTGTGTGTGTGTGTGTGTGTGTGTGTGTGTGTGTGTGGTGTGTGTGTGTGTGTGTGTGTGTGTGTGCAAACACTGAGACGACTCTCAGCCCAAAACATTATCAGCCCGCTTTCACATCCACGCCGCCCCTGGGGGCCGCCGGGTCGCCGCGGCCCGGCGCGCTGCTGCCCCCCTCTGGCCACAGGAGGAACGGCGGCGCTAACGCCGGCCTCCTCCTGATGCGAGTGTTGCCGTGACGACTGGCGGCCTTGAACCGAAACCTGCAGAGGTCCGACCCGTTTCTCCAGGGAAGCCTCGTTCTCCTTAAATAGTTGGACTTGCGCAACGATCTGGTGCCGGAACAGGAGCAGAGGAGGTTCTGACCCGGAACCCGGGTTCCTGCTCGGGTTGGCAGCAGCAGCACAAAGCGGCTGACCTCTGACCCTGATTTTCTCTGGTCTATTTAAAAATCAGTGATTTTTGGTTTTCTTGGTTTTTATTTGTACTTCTAAAAGTTCCTCAGTTTCACAGAAAAGGTTTTCGCTGCTCTGGGTTATTTCTGAACTTTCTTCCTCTTCCTCCTGTGAAGAGCCCGGCTTCTCCAGACGCTTGTTGACAGGAAAGTTGTGATCGGTTCTGATCCGTGTTGGACTCGCTGTAATCCAATCCCAGGTAGGAAGACCTCCTTTAATCCACTCAAACTGGATTAATATACAATAACAGAGAGATAAACAGAAAGTCTGCCATCCTTTTATGCTCCACTTCTTTTCCTCTTCATTTACTGGGATCAGATTCTGGTAAACTGGGAGCAAAACGCGTCAGGATGAGCCGCATCCCTTCAATCCACTGTCACAACTTGTTTTTGATTTTTAATCTAAGAAATTAAAGCTACAAATGTGTCAAAAAGCCTTAAAATCCACTGAAATACAAACAATGACGTCAAACCTGAACAAACAGAAATACTGAACATCTGATGGTCGACTCACTACGACCGTTAAACTGGGAAACACAGCAAACTTTCAAGAAAATGTGAATTTGCTGCGTTTCATCCTATGGCAAAAATAAACAGAAAGCAGAACCATGGAACAGAACCATGGAGCAGAACCATGGAACAGAACCATGGATCGGAACCATGGAACAGAACCATGGAACAGAACCATGGAGCAGAACCATGGAGCAGAACCATGGAACAGAACCATGGAGCAGAACCATGGATCGGAACCATGGAACAGAACCATGGAACAGAACCATGGAGCAGAACCATGGAGCAGAACCATGAAGCAGAACCATGGAGCAGAACCATGGAACAGAACCATGGAGCAGAACCATGAAGCAGAACCATGGAACGGAACCATGAAGCAGAACCATGGAACAGAACCATGGAACAGAACCATGGAGCAGAACCATGGAACAGAACCATGGAACGGAACCATGGAGCAGAACCATGGATCGGAACCATGGAACAGAACCATGGAACAGAACCATGGAGCAGAACCATGGAGCAGAACCATGAAGCAGAACCATGGAGCAGAACCATGGAACAGAACCATGGAGCAGACCATGAAGCAGAACCATGGAACGGAACCATGAAGCAGAACCATGGAACAGAACCATGGAACAGAACCATGGAATGGAACCATGGAGCAGAACCATGAAGCAGAACCATGGAGCAGAACCATGGAGCAGAACCATGGAACAGAACCATGGAACAGAACCATGGAACGGAACCATGGAACAGAACCATGGAACGGAACCATGAAGCGGAACCATGGAACAGAACCATGGAATGGAACCATGGAACAGAACCATGGAACGGAACCATGAAGCGGAACCATGGAACAGAACCATGGAACAGAACCATGGAGCAGAACCATGGAATGGAACCATGGAACAAAACCATGGAACAGAACCATGGAATGGAACCATGGAGCAGAACCATGGAGCAGAACCATGGAATGGAACCATGGAACAGAACCATAAAGCAGAACCATGGAACAGAACCATGGAGCAGAACCATGGAACAGAACCATGGAGCAGAACCATGAAGCAGAACCATGGAGCAGAACCATGGAGCAGAACCATGGAATGGAACCATGGAACAGAACCATGGAGCGGAACCATGGAACGGAACCATGAAGCAGAACCATGGAATGGAACCATGGAACAGAAC